CAAACAGAGAGGCGAGAGAGCCCTTGAAACCGCTCTCATTTAACCCCTTTTTTCCCCTCTTCCGTCTCTCGTGGCGGCGCTGGGAGCCATGAACTCAGACGAGGAGTACCTGTACGACTGTGACAGCGGCAATGAGTCGAGTGGCGATGACGTGGGCCTCGAATTCGACATCGAGGGCGAAGGAGGCTCGGGAGGCACCAAATACAAGGAGATGGAAGACTATCCCTACGAAGTCCTTTCCACCGAGGACATCACGAGGCACATGATCGAGGGCATCAAGGAGGTCAATGGAGTGGTCAATGTAAGCAGGGAGGTCTTTTTTTTAAGGGGGGTGTTCATGGGGGAGGGGGAGGGAGAGGGGTGTTGGGAGATAGGCCTATGGCTCCTGGGAAGGGGATTTTTTTTTTTTTCCTTTTTTTTTTCTTTCGAGGGGTGTTGTTGGGTTTCGTTGTATGATTTTGTGGGTTTGGGTGTTTCGTTTAGGTTTTTTTCCTCTTTGGTACAAGTTTATCCGTCTGGTTTGTTTCTGTTGTAGGATGTAGGCCTATATATGTGTTTTGCTATTTTGGGGGGGAAATTTTTGGGAAATGTTTAGAAGAACTGGAATTTTCTTGTGGTTATTGGCCGTTCTCTCTCAGAAATTGCACGAAATTGCTCGTGGTCTGGCTTTTCCTCTGAATCCCAGAGCATAAGTGGTGCAACATCAAATTCTTTCGTTGGGCAACGCAACTGCCACCCCTGCAGAGAATAATGAACAGCACCCATGTATGTTCTGATAAAATGGAGACTAGATTGTTTTGTTCTTTTTTTTTTGTTTTCAAGTGAATTGCCAGAGTGATGAATAAATTACCGTCTTGTTTTAGGAGGTAAAAGTTTGGTGGACTTAAAGAAGGCCGAACAGTACGAGTTGAAGGACTGTGCCACTCGTATAAAGTTTATGGTGGAGCTGCTGTTGTCTGATAACCATTTATCAAGATTTTAGGTTTAGTGTAAATATTTTGTTTATTAGTATAGGCCTATAGTAGATCAGTTGCCTATCATTAAAGGCTTATCTGCAAAGGTTTTCATATGAAAAAAATATATGTTTTATTGTTTTTGTTAGTGTTTTTTTATTACATAACTTGCTTGTTTTTATTACATTTGTGTTGTTTGTTTTTGTTGTACTTTTACTATTTTAGTTTCAGGAGAAGGGTTGAGATTAGTTTTGTGGAAAATATTTTAGCATATTTGTAGTTTTTGATATACATTAAATGAGTTTTAGTTTCTTATATCTTTCTTATCTGCTTTCTGTTGAGTTTTGGGAAAAAATAACATATGTTACTAGGGTCTTGGGTAGATTTTTGTAATTTTGGTAGTTTTCCTTTATGTTTTTGCTTGATTTTTATTTATCAGTGTCCAGTTTTATCTTTTCCAGTGTTTATGGTTAGTAATTTCCGTACTTGAAGTTATTTAAGTCTTTTCCAAATTTCTTGAAAATAGAGTGAAGTTAGTTTACACTTATATCAGAAGCAAATATAATATTTTTGTCATTTTATAGTATTTTGTAGTTTTTGAAAAACCCTACTTGACCCACTGCCACCACAGACACACATCTTGTACACTGTAGTTTTGTTTTATGATAATTTAATAACAAATATTTGGCTCTGTGATATCTCAAGGCATTTCTTTACCTGGCCCTCAGTCAAATTTTTCATGACGTGTTACAAATCCAATGGGTTGATATTGATATTATGATTATGATGGTAACTATTATCATCAGTGAATTATGATTATTTTAATGATTTTTAACAATTATGATAGCAATAGAAATTAAATTAAAAGTTGTCAGAAAACTAGGAAGAGCGTGAACAGGTGAGCTTAGATAGGACAAGTAATTGAGCTCTCAGTGATTAAGCACTTACAATGCCATCTATGTGTACACAAAATTGATAGACTAAGATCACAGTCACAGTAGCAATGGGTTTAGACTTTAGAATATATTCCATTAAAACCTTTTCTTGAGTAGTTTGTCGCAAATCATAAAAGCTCTAAATTGTATTCTTCTTTTGCTCAAGCTTTTTGCTCATGCCTATATGGGAAAGGTAGCTAGCATGAGCCTATGCAGATGAATGTGGGTATTATGCCATAACAACGGGAAACGTGTTTATTGTGGGCATTTTGGAGGCCCTGGTACACTGATTCTGAATTCCAGATTGCTGTAAAATTACTAGCTGGGAGTAGCTTTTTGATTTAACTAAGTTAGCAACTGTAAATTTAGAATTAACAGCCTTAAGAACAGAATGAAAACATAAAATGGTTGTAGAATCAGTGGTTGTAGAGCTACAGCTTTCCTTTGTATTTATTTTGAATTTCTAACGTTTCTGTATTCATACTCTTTCTACTTTGTACAAAATAGTGAACCATTAGACATTAGATAGATTTATAATTTCCTTTTTTGGGCCTTGTCTCCTTTATATGAATCTATAAACAAAACAAGTTCTTTTTGTAGATTTTAAGTTTGGATGAGTAAACTTACGACAGGAATGTTTACGTCTGATTACTGAATTTAGGAATGGAATGTTATATTACTTGATATTGTGGCATTTGTTTATTTTCTCTTTTCCTTTTAGAAGTTGTTTTATAAAGGATTTTCCTGTTGTTAATGAGTCTTGTAATGAAAGATATATGGTTTATAATTTTTATTTTATGTTGATTATCAGTATTAATGAAGATAGTTTTATTTTGCTTATATATATATTTTATATTTCTATAAATTCAGTGTATTGTTCTCTTCTCTATGATTCTGTTTACTAATATCCTTTGGGATGAGCATGAGGCTTTTTTTTTCTCCTTTTCTTTCTTTCTTTCTTTCTCTTACATCTCTTTCTATTTTTTCAATAGACATTAAGCTCAGAGGAATGATCTTACACACCCTCTCACTCACAGATGCACTTGTTCTCACACAATATGCACACACATGTACACACCCTCACAGATACATGTACACACACATATACCACACAAGCACACACCACACCACATGCACGCACGTACACACACATACTCGGATGCACACACACATACTCGGATGCACACACACATACTCGGATGCACACACACATACTCGGATGCACACACACACATACTCGGATGCACACACACATACTCGGATGCACACACACATACTCGGATGCACACACACATACTCGGATGCACACACACATACTTGGATGCACACACACATACTCGGATGCACACACACATACTTGGATGCACACACATATACTCGGATGCACACACACACATCCACAGTTACATACTCATATGCACAAATACACACACGCACGTGCATACACTTTGTTACAGACATGCATATGCACAGATACACACACTCACATGCATGGATACACACACACATACATACATATACATATATATACACAAACACTCACACAGGTATTTTCACATATACTAACACATCAAGGCCTACATACATACATGTGCACCAAGAAATGGATAAATAATTTCAACATTCAAAAGGAAGTTAGGAAGACAGTTGCATTGACAATATGAAGCCTTTCCCTTTCATGACAGAAGATAGAGAGTGTGCCAACAATGCAAGGGAGTGCATTTGAAGGGGGAAGCAAGCTGGCAGGCAAGCAAGCCCCTTCAGCTAAGTCTGATCTCCATGCATTAGGGTCGTATTAGACGGGAATAGTAGAAGAAAGACGTGTTTTCAGCTTTGTATTTGAATAGGGGTGATTTTGTGGTCTTCATATATGGTTACCTGTTTATTATTCTCTAGCATTATGTTAGCTTTGCAGTAGTTTGAATATTGAAGCTGGTTCAAAGGATTGAAAGATGATAAAACAAACTTAGCTCTTGTTTTAATAAGTATTGTGTTTATTAAAGCATATTTTTCTCAGAGTGTGTTCAAGTTACATCTTGTTGCAGTTTTGGGTATTCATCCGAGCAAGGTTGCACACTTGCACACAACATATTTTAGAAGCATAATAAAAAATTACCCCAATTTAACTCAAGTTACGAAATCTTTTTCTGCTAGCACGGCATTATAATTAAATTTATAAGTGCACACATTCTCATAGAGGAGAGTCAGTTGGCTTACTCCTATCTTGCCAAGCAGATCTTTTTTCATGGTAAATTGGCCTCTGTTCTGTCAGTGCCCAACCAACCTCCACCCCATAAATTCTAGTGAGAAATCTTGGGATGTTTCCTTCTTTCCCAAGGTCTTTGAGTTCTCTCTGCTGGAAAATATTTTATGGAGGTTAGGTTTTCTCTGTCTCCGAACAGTGCTATTCTGAATGATGACCGAATCATCTTTTTGACGGCTTATATGTGAAGGATAATACAGGACACGGCTTGTTTTGTGGAAATCTCTTATCTCTGTATCTTTGGACTTGAGCAATTTGGTATAAAATTTAGAGAGGAGTCTAAGTTGAAGTTTTTAAAATTTGAAAGGAATAAGGCTTGATCTTGATGTCTTAACCCTTTATGTATCTGTTGAGAAGTGAAAAAGAATTAATCCAATGTTGCCGTGAAAATGTTGTGCTCATTTTAAATTTTTTAGGAAATGTCTTTGCACATATATGGCTCTGCAAGTGCATAGCCACAAAAGAGTCAATAAGTAACCTTACTAGATTTCACCTTCCCTTAAATTTGCGGGAAAAAACAATTGATGAAGTAAACTCAAAGAAGGCATGGTATGTATGTACATTCCATGTCCTTCAGTTTTGGGTTAATAAGTAACAAATTGAAAATCTGAAAAAAATCATTTCGTACTAAGGTTTTTCTTCTTTTCTTCCAGATTCCTGTGACAACAACGAGAATACTCTTGAATCACTTTAAATGGGACAAAGAGAAGTTAATGGAACGATTTTACGATGGCGACCAGGAGAAGCTCTTCCTGGAAGCGCACGTAGTCAGTCCTTACAAGACTCCCAAAGCTCAAAAGGTGAGTTGGGTTTTCTTTTCTTTTTTTCTTTTCTTTTCGTTTTCTTCATAAGCTTCATTTTTTTTCTCTTCTATTTATCTTTCCTTTTTCATTGTTCATTTCTGTTTGTTTATCTGTTATCACGCCCTTCTTTTTCTCTTCTTTTTGGTGATTTTTCCTTAGAAAAGTGATACAGTGTTTGTCTCTTAATGGAGTGTATGTGTTAGTCTGTATAAAAAGGTTATATACATACTTATACTTATGTATGGGTACAGATACACAAACAAGATAATTGGCTTTTTGTAAATATTATTTTCAGTGATAAGTCTGTTTACATGACAGGAACCCTTTCTTTAAGTAATACTAAGTTAAAAGTAAATACATTTAAGGTTGACATGTGAGCAGTATTTATTTTTATTTTATTGCTATGGTTGAGATGTTGATTAATTCCAAAATCTATTGAAATTGTTATGATAAAGACATGATCCCACAATAAAGTTGAAACTAAGTATCAGCATTTTCTTGAATGTTTGCAGTAGCCGGGCCTGACTGCAGTATGCAATATTTGCTACAAAGTGTTCAGTGTTCTTTTATCAAAATTTCTGTACATGTTGTTGTTGTTGTTGTTTTTTGTGTCTTCATGAGAATGATCAGATTACTAATCTGCATAGTTCTTAAGGCAAATATGTAATTAGGTTTGCTCTCATTTTCATTTTCTTTTTTTATATAAGTAAGTTGTATTATACATAAATATATAATTCTGTTGACATATGCTTTTGGAATTCATGTCTTATTTTGTTCTTATTTAGTTTCACTTTGTAGCTACTTTTATTTTTTGTTTCCAATTAGTTTCTTACGTTTTTGCAAATGTATGTGTATAAGCCTGTGAAATGATGAAAGAGGGAAATATAATTAACCCCTTGCCAACGGGGATGGTATGTACATACATGGCATGCCCACTGTGAGTCGACTTGTTTGATTGTTTTTACACATAGATGGCTATACTTGTACTAAGTCACCAATGAGTCAATTACGAGTATTGCCTGTCTCGCCCATTCACCCTTTCCATTGATTTACGAAAATATTTAACGTTATCCTGATTTGCTGTTAAAGATAACACCATTTATATTTGTAGCACTAGTAAGAATACATTTTTTTCCCACCAATTCAAGGAAAGGTTAAATTAGGACTAGCAGAGCCATCTATGTACAGAGATATTTCACAAAAATATAAAAAATGAGTACAGCATTTTCCCCATTTTTTATTAATTTTCCCCGGCGGCAATGGGTTAACAATGAAACAACAAATAACAGGGATTCCTTGCCATACAATAGTTGAGACAAGATGCTGGAAAGTCTCTCTTGTGAACCCATTGCCGCTGGGGGAAATGCAGTACTCATTTTCTATATTTTTGTGAGATATCTCTGTCCATAGATGGCTCTGCTAGTCCTGATTTCACCTTCCCTTGAATTGGTGGGAAAAAACGTATTTTTACTAGTGCTATAAATATAGATGGTGTTATTTTTAACAGCAAATTAGGATAATGTTAAATATTTTCGTATATCGATGAAAAGGGTGAACGGGCGAGACAGGCAGTTCTCGTAATTGGCTCATTGGATACTTAGTACAAGTGTAGCCATCTATGTGTAAAAACAATCGAACAAGTCAACTCACAGTGGGCATGGCATGTATGTACATGCCATCCCCGGCGGCAATGGGTTCAAAGTCAGTTGCACAGATGAAAAGAACAATGCTGCAATCCAATTCTTATGTTTGTGTCTGCACTATCTTTTTGGTCTAGCTATTCTTCTAAAGACTTATGGTTCATGTGTGGAAAAATTGAGAAATTAAAATACACTAAGAGTGTATAAACGCATTTTTTTTTTTTTTACAAAAGTGAATGATCTTGGGGTACTAGTACAAACATTCACACCCATTTGTGATGCACTGTGAAGCCTACTCTAAATTATGTTCATGTTCATGTTCAGTTGTTTTACTTGTTTGGCCCTTGGTGTGATCATTGAGGAAAAACAGCCCCACAGAGGAAGGGTCAGTGCCTCTTTTTAGCCTTATTTCCATAACCCATTCGCCTCATGTGGCAAGAATACATGCCATGCCCACTGTAACACACGTTTATTTATTGTATTTACACGTAGATGGCTCTACAAGTTCTTAATCACCAAATAGCCAGTTTATCAGAACTACCTATCTCACTTGTTTACCCTTTTCCTTCACTTTAGGAAAGGATTTTTAGTATCATTTTATTGTCTAAAATATTTTAAAGACAATTTAATAATCATAACATCAATAACAATAATAACAGTAATGATAGCAATGGTAATTAATTGCCAATTCAATGAATGGGAAAATCAAGATCGCTAACTAGGGCCTATATATATGTATATATATATATATATATATATATATATATATATATATATATATATATATATATATATATATATATATAGAATGTGTGTGTGTGTGTGTGTGTGTGTGTGTGTGTGTGTGTGTGTGTGTGTGTGTGTGTGTGTGTGTGTATATGTGTGTGTGTGCGTGTGTGTGTGTGCGTGTGTAAACATACATATACATATACATATACATACATATACTGAAATACAAATTAGGCCATTGGATTTGGGTGAATCAAATGTTACATCATTAACCCATTGCCGCCGGGGATGGCATGTACGTACGTGCCATGCCCACTTTGAGTCGACTTGTTCGATTGTTTTTACACATAGATGGCTACACTTGTACTAAGTATCCAATGAGCCAATTCGAGTACAGCCTGTCTCGTCCGTTCATCCTTTTCATCGATTTACGAAAATGTTTAACATTATCCTAATTTGCTGTTAAAAATAATACCATCTATATTTATAGCACTAGTAAGAATACGTTCTTTCCCGCCAATTTAAGGAAAGGTGAAATCAGGACTAGCAGAGCCATCTATGGACAGAGATATTTCACAAAAATATAAAAAATGAGTACAGTATTTTCTCCATTTTTTGTTCATTTTCCCCGGCGGCAATGGGTTAAAAAGTATAGCAGAGTGGCATATGATGGGAATGTCTCATCATTAGTGCATAAAGCTGTTGGAGTAAGATTAGACTTAGTAAGCTTTTAGAAAGGGCCTCTTGCATTATTTCCACCGTTAAATGATCGTGGAATGTACCATCCGTGAGGAATGTCTGGAAGAGTGCTGGCTCCAGGGAGGACCCTATATTCAAGTGCAGTATTCCTCCCTGCCTTGGAAATATTGTTATTGCATAGAGTTATAGAATACATGGAGAGATAATATAGTCTGTTCAGCAAAAAGCAGTCTATTACCATCTTGATACAACTTTATGAATGACAACTAGACCTTGAAAAATGGCAAAACAGCAGAATAAAAACAAATAACATAACAAGAAGAGGCAAGGAGTCCAGGTCATGGGAGAGTCACCACTTAACTCAGTGCCACTAGGAAAATGCTGTGCTGTCTCTCTCTTCTTTTCTTTCTTTCTTTCTTTCTTTTTTTGTGAGATCTCTGCACATAGATGGCTCTGCTAGTGATTAGCCACAAAGGAGTCAATTAGTAGACCTTACCTGATTTCACCTTTCCTTGAATTGGCAGGTTCCCCCCCCCCCCCCTTTCCTTTTTATTAATACAATGAATATCAGTGGTGTTATTTTTATTATAGACATTATAATTATTATAATGTTATAGATTGTAACAGAAATATGAGATAATGTAAAATATTTTTAAAAATCAAGGAAAAGGGTAAACTGGCAAAGCAGGCAGCACTCGTAATTGGCTCGTTGGTGACTTAGTACAGTGTACCCAGGTATGCGTAAACTAAACAAAAAAAATAATGAAAGGAAAAGTAAAAATCTAGTAGATTAAGGATAGAAAACATAATAAATAATACTCTAGCCTAAAAGATTCACACAAACTTGAACAACTGCATTTGTTGCAGGGAGATATCCTTTTTCTTCGCATGTCCACTCTAACCCCAAAGTCACAAACAACTGAGCTTGCTTGCCAAAAAATAGCCAATTCTGAAAGCTTACAATATCAGAATTTGAAGGAAATACTAATTAGATCAAGGTAGTTTAGAATATGATGAAATCAGGCAGTTTGAACCATTAACCCATTGCCACTGGGGAAAATTAATAAAAAATGGGGAAAATGCTGTGCTCGTTTTTTATAATTTTTGCGAAATGTCTCTGTACATAGATGGCTCTGCTGGTTCTTAGCCACAAAGGAGTCAATTAGTAGATCTTGTGACCTTACCTGATTTCACCTTTCCTTGGATTGGTGGGAAAATCGTATTTTTTACTAGTACTATGAATATCAATGGTGTTATTTTTTATTATAAACATTATAATTACTATAATATCACAAACATTAGTAACAGCAAAATAAGATAACGTAAAATATTTTCGTAAATCAATGAAGTAGCAGTACTCATAACTGGCTCATTGGTGACTTAGTACAAGTGTAGCCATCTATGTGTAAAAACAATTAAGCAAATAAACTCACAGTGGGCATGGCATATATGTACATGCCATTCCCGTTGGCAAAGAGGAAATTACTGTATAGTAGTGATTACTAATAAAGGGTATCAAATAAATGGTAGAAATAAGTAAGATTAATACTCTGTAATGAATGACAATGAAAATTTGGCTGTGCTGTGGGAAAAACTACAATGAAATGGGAAAAAAGTGGCCTTTCCAGAGTATAGTGAGTGAGACCATTGTTTGTTTCATGCACTTCAAAATTTTGACTCAAGTGATGGAAGGCTGTGTGTGGAGCGGAAAATCCTGTCATGGGCAGGGTCAAATAACAATCAAATTATGGATTTCGAGGGACTAGAAAATATGACAAACTTGTAGACTGCAGATTTTCTCCTCCTCCTCCTCCTTCTCTTTTTGAAAGATTATTGTCAGCTTTTCATTAATTTTTGAAAGAAATTAAAAGGGTACAGGATTTTAAATATAGTATATGTTAAAGAAAATGTTATGGAGGAGTTTTAGTTTGTGTTATAGTACATTTACTAAATCCAAATAACTTTTTAAAAAATATTCTAGCACTAATTACTTTAGTTAACCCATTGCCGCCAGGAATGGCACGTACATACATGCCATGCCCACTGTGAGTCGACTTGTTTGATTGTTTATACACATAGATGGATACACTTGTACTAAGTATCCAATGAGCCAATTACAGTACTGCCTGTCTCGCCCGTTCACCCTTTTCATCGATTTACAAAAATATTTAACGTTATCCTAATTTGCTGTTAAAAATATCACTATCTATATTTATAGCACTAGTAAGAATACGTTTTTTCCCGCCAATTTAAGGAAAGGTGAAATCAGGACTAGCAGAGCCATCTATGGACAGACATAATTCACAAAAGTATAAAGAATGAGCACTGTATTTCCCCTATTTTTTTTTCATTTTCCCTGGCGGCAATGGGTTAATATCTGTTAGAATATTTATTGAAGTATGATAAACCTCTGCCTATCAATGACAAAAATATTTTCAAAATTCGGGTTGTAAATATCAGTTCCCATAGGAGGTGATTAAGCAGTACATACAGAAGAACTAATTCTGCTTGAAAATTTGGTACACTTTCTCCATTTTATCTTTCTCAGTCTCATTCCAGATAACATAATTTTTTTCTCTTTCTTTTCTTTTTTTAGGATACATTTTCTCTTGTTTATTGACCTCTACTTTTTTCATTTCAGCCACTTGTCAAAAACAGTAATGGGATGGAGGAATGCGAGATCTGCTTTCTTAACATGCCTTCTGCGGTAAGTTTTGCTTTAAAGGATTAAATAAAAATATAACAATTAATCAATATAGCTAGGATGCCTATATCTATCTATATGTAAATTAGCTTGTAATGTAAATATAATTTATATATGTGCAGTATCTATGTGACATACCTTTCCATGTGTAATTTCTGCGACCACTTACTTTCCACATATTACAGATGATGACAGGCATTGAGTGTGGGCACCGGTTCTGCACCAACTGCTGGACAGAATACCTCACCACCAAGATCATTGACGAGGGCATGGGACAGACGATATCATGCGCTGCCCACTTGTGCTCGATCCTGGTGGATGATCAGACTGTCATGCGCCTCATCACAGATGCCAAGGTTAAACTCAAGTACCAGCATCTCATCACCAAGAGCTTTGTAGAGGTGAGTAAATTAAGCCTTTCACAGTCATGTCTTGGTGGGTGTGGATTATTAATGATAAGATCTAAGGAAAAGAGATTCATATACGAAACACATTGAACACAAACTTATTTACTTGGTATTATTTTAATTATTTTTAAAAATGGTAAGAAATCATTTAGAAACATGATTTGTAGATGGGTAAAAATCTAAGTAAAATAATATTTGTAAAAATCTCTCTTCAGTGTAACCGCTTATTGCGCTGGTGTCCATACCCCGACTGCAACTATGCGATTAAGGTGCAATATCCAGATGCCCGGCCTGTCATGTGCAAGTGCCGCAAGGTGTTCTGCTTCAATTGTGGAGAGAACTGGCATGACCCTGTGAAGTGCCACCTCCTCAAGCGCTGGATCAAGAAGTGCGATGATGACTCCGAGACCTCCAACTGGATTGCTGCGAACACAAAGGTAGGAGTTAATGAGGGTTTTGCTTGTTGATGTGAAGGCTTGGGTGAACGTGGCTCCATTGAGGTCAGCCAAAAATTGCATTTGATTGCCATGAAATTACAATGAGTTATGGCTGTAACTTTTTGCAACATTAGCTTCCACTGTTCAGTAACTGATGCACTAGTATACAAAATATATTTCATCTACTTTTTAGATTCAAGTTCCACAAATGCCAGAGATAAAAAATGGCTTTGGTGAAAGCTTAAATGCTGAGCAACATTATCATTTGCAACATTATCGTAGGGCAATTCTCCCTCATAAAACACTGATAAACGAGACCTGATCCTATAAACGCGTACCATTCCAGGAGTGTCCAAAGTGTAAAGTGACCATCGAGAAAGACGGAGGCTGCAACCACATGGTGTGTAAAAACCAGAGCTGTAAGGCCGACTTCTGCTGGGTGTGCCTTGGACCCTGGGAGCCCCATGGGTCTTCATGGTGGGTATTTTTTGTTTATTTATTTTTATTTAGTTATGTGTTTGGTGGCGGTAGTGATGGTAGGCTGTTTGTTAATGCCTTTTTTTTTTCTCACTCTCTCTCTCTTTTTTCTTTTTTTTTTAGCTTGTCACTTTTTGGGTGAAGTTCCTCTTGTGGGGATGGGGTAAAATGAGCCTTTTCTTTCTTTCTTTCTTCCCAAAAGAGTATGTGCAGAATTTGTTATTTAACATATTATTTAATTTTTCAGTATTTAGTGTGTATTTTTCTTTGTTTTCTTGTGTGTGTGTGAGAGTATGTATGTTGGGTATGGGTTGGTTGAGGTGGAGCCATGCATGTGTGGATGTGTGTCTATTATATTTAGGTTTCAATAATAAACAGTTAATTACTGCAACAAATAATTGAAATAATAAATTTATCTGTTATAGTCAAGACATAAATTATAATGAATAAAGATGAAAATCCTGGTATTGCATTAGCATTTTAAATACAAAATAGGAAGAACAAGTCAAGCTGTTGTCATTCTTTTTGAAGTCTTAAACACAAGGAGCTTTTGAAATATCCTGCACCTGAAGAGGCATATAGACTTGAATGAATAGGGCCAAACCTACTATCCCATATATATATGAATACCTTAAAATGAAAAGTATGTAATTGAAAGACCTAGAAATATATTTGACAATACTTCCTGCTCCACCTGAGAAGGTTATTTCATCAAGGCTTAGAAGAGGAGAGGCTGCTCAGTTCTAAATTTGGTAGATCTTAATAATAAGTTCATTCCTCTCCTTCACAGGTACTCGTGTAACAGATACGATGAGGACGAAGCCAAGCAAGCCCGAGATGCCCAGGAGAAGTCCCGTGCTGCCCTCCAGCGCTATCTGTTCTACTGCAACCGCTACATGAACCACATGCAGTCCCTCAAGTTTGAGAACAAACTTTACGCAGCTGTCAAGGAGAAGATGGAAGAGATGCAGCAACACAACATGTCTTGGATTGAGGTAGGATTTCCTATGTTTTGCAGCAAGAAAATATAGGTTCTTTTCTTATATTGATACATGACTGTGTTTAACATATGTGAGAAATTTGGTTTGGTGACATTAGTTGCACAGAGATTAATCTAAGTTTAATTTTCAGGTTCAGTTCCTAAAGAAAGCAGTTGACATTCTTTGCGATTGTCGGCAAACTCTCATGTACACGTATGTGTTTGCTTATTATTTGCGCAAGAACAACCAGTCCGTGATATTCGAAGATAATCAGAAAGATGTCGAAAGTGCCACAGAAACGCTCAGTGAATATTTAGAGCGTGATATAACCCAAGAAAATTTGGCTGATATCAAACAAAAAGTTCAAGATAAATACAGGTTAGTAATTCTTGGCTGTCTTTTTGAGAGATATTTAGTCAGTTTTAATTGTGGTCATTATCATCCCAGAATAAGATATTTCACATTTTGTTTTCCTCTTGTGCTTTTCAAGTATCATTTATTAGTGCAATAAAAATTTACTGGTTTGAAAGCCCCATGTTTTTATTGTGAAAATTTCATTGTTATTAATGGTTTTCATTGAGAAATGCAATTGAATTTCTTTATTTATTGATTTTAAGAATTAACTTAAAACTTCTGTTGATGCTACTGACTGTAAACATAAACTAGTTTTAAAAGTTTGTAAAGAGTTCCATATTGTGCATTCTGATCCTGCAATAGAGAAAGAGAAGGAATAATTATTGTTTTACAACCATTCAATGATTTGCATTGCAACATCATTGCTCACTGTTATATTAAGTGAGATGATGCTTTTTCTTGTCTTGTCTTATGCAAATTATGGCCTTTGTCAGGGTCTTGATATTTAGGGATGTTGGGCACTGTATTCTGTTCATTAATCATAAAGCCAGCCACTCAAAAAAATGCAGCTTCATAGACATAGCCATTGACTGGGTAATTCATAAGAAGGCCACGTATTCAAATCAAAATTACCATGCACTGCCCTAATGATCATCACGGCACCAGAGGAATCACAATATCATGAAATTCCTCTGTGCTACTTCCTGTAGACAGAACTTCTGGGGTGGTATTCATGAAAGGTCTGAGCTTGTTCTTAGCAGTTTTCTCTGATTTGTGCCATTGCCATACCTCAAAGTTAATGCTGGTAACTGAATAAACACTCCCATCATTATAGACTCTATGAAAATCATTGATTGCAGTAATGTGTTAAAGCTTACATACTGCAATGCATATTGCTTCAATAATTACAATAGCATTACACATTTTATATATATTTAAATAAAATTTCAACAGCCACTGTTGTGATTACATCAGCTGTGAAGCCGTGTGATGCCATATGTATTTTCAAATAGAAAATTGCTGTAAATATGTAAAAAAAAATGATCAATTAAAGTTTGACAATAAATCAGAATGGATCTCCAAAGTAGATCTGTGATTCCTGATTATTCTTACTTTGGTAAGAATAAGAATAGATTTGAGGCCTTTTTTTATATAAATTATCAAACTTAATTAAGCCATTTCCTAAATTTTTATTGATGCATTTTATTAAAAAAAAAAAAAACACCTCCTTCACAACTGATGCAATGACAATAAACACATGGATTCAACATCACATTTAGATATACCTAATGAGTAATAATACTGTTATGGTATAAACAAGATTTATTGCAATATTTACCTTACCACCTTACTACAATAAATTATCAAAATAGAGATTATTACTATATGAATGTGTATTCTCTAACCAGCATTAATTTTGAGATGTGGCCAGTGGGGCAAAGCATAGATAATATCGCAAAAAACAGTCTTAGATCTTTTGTGAATATCTGCTGCTTGACTGGTGTAAACAGTTACTCGGTTTTTATGCAGTTGTCAGATAAGTAAGTTATAGTATAGTGGCTGTTGATGAAATCTTGTGATATCAGAAAATTATGAAATTCAGTGATATATAGGGACAGCTGCTAGTGGAGTCCAAAATGTCAAAACTTATTGAGTGAGCATATTCTTTTACAAGTATTGTTCAGAATTGGAATCACTATAATAGCTTTTACAGACCCCATCTTCATAAAATTCATGTGTTTGTAGACCTTTGGATAGTGTATAAAATGGTAACTTGATATTTTGTGTGTGTGTGTGTTTTTGGATATTTTTATTGCACTTTCTGTCATTACAAGTATCAGATTCTCATTTTGATTTTTATAGTATAGTTTTTTACCTTCAGTTTATAGGACTTCAAAGTTTTGAGATCCGCTTTACTAAAAGTAAACTTTAGACAAGGTAAAGTATAGTGCATCAAAACATAAGGTCTGCCAACTCTTTCTTGCCAGTGTAAGCAGTTTCTCATAGAGCACAGTGCATAGGGAAAGAAATCCTCATTCTTCTCTTCTGTTGCAGGTACTGTGATCAACGTCGTAGAAAATTGCTGGAACACGTCCATGAGGGTTACGAGAAAGACTGGTGGGAGTATACAGAGTTATAAATTATACATTGACCTTGAATTCATATGCACAGGGTGTAAGAATTATTAAGTCATATATCTGCTGAAGAAAAGAAAAGAAAAAAGAGGATTAAACAAGAAAAAATAGAACCCAAAACGAAACATTTGGTTGGACAAAATTTTCCGAGATTACTGAGCGAGGAAGAAGCTGAAGGTGTGCTTGTAAAAGAGGATTTTGAGCTTTTAAAGAATTGTAGTCATGACAATTTAATGTTAAACAACAATATACTTTAAAACCATTTATTGAGCAGGGATGGAAAACTTAGAAGCCAATTTTGCATTCAATCCTTTCAACACTCGTCTTTGTTTTTCTTTCTTTCTTTTTCATTTCTTTTTTTATCATTGTTATAATCATTAAGAGACGTAATTAGAGACTGTGACGAGGGTTGGATGAGTTGATAAGTCTAAATTTTTAATGTCCAAAATTACATTCCACACTTGTAGAACCAGACTAAATGCATCAGGATGAGTAGTGGGAACATCTTTCATGTACCGTGATGTAAAACTCATGTGTGCATATATATATATATATATATATATATATATATATATATATATATAAATGTCAAAACTTATTGAGTGAGCATATTCTTTTACAAGTATTGTTCAGAATTGGAGTCACTATAATAGCTTTTACAGACCCCATCTTCATAAAATTCATGTGTTTGTAGACCTTTGGATAGTGTATAAAATGGTAACTTGATATTTTGTGTGTGTGTTTTTTTATATTTTTATTGCACTTTCTGTCATTACAAGTATCAGATTCTCATTTTGATTTTTATAGTATAGTTTTTTACCTTCAGTTTATAGGACTTCAAAGTTTTGAGATCCACTTTACTAAAAGTAAACTTTAGACAAGGTGAAGTATAGGGCATCAAAACATAAGGTCTGCCAACTCTTTCTTGCCAGTGTAAGCAGTTTCTCATAGAGCACAGTGCATAGGGAAAGAAATCCTCATTCTTCTCTTCTGTTGCAGGTACTGTGATCAACGTCGTAGAAAATTGCTGGAACACGTCCATGAGGGTTACGAGAAAGACTGGTGGGAGTATACAGAGTTATAAATTATACAATGACCTTGAATTCATATGCACAGGGTGTAAGAATTATTAAGTCATATATCTGCTGAAGAAAAGAAAAGAAAAAAGAGGATTAAACAAGAAAAAATAGAACCCAAAACGAAACATTTGGTTGGACAAAATTTTCCGAGATTACTGAGCGAGGAAGAAGCTGAAGGTGTGCTTGTAAAAGAGGATTTTGAGCTTTTAAAGAATTGTAGTCATGACAATTTAATGTTAAACAACAATATACTTTAAAACCATTTATTGAGCAGGGATGGAAAACTTAGAAGCCAATTTTGCATTCAATCCTTTCAACACTCGTCTTTGTTTTTCTTTCTTTCTTTTTCATTTCTTTTTTTATCATTGTTATAATCATTAAGAGACGTAATTAGAGACTGTGACGAGGGTTGGATGAGTTGATAAGTCTAAATTTTTAATGTCCAAAATTACATTCCACACTTGTAGAACCAGACTAAATGCATCAGGATGAGTAGTGGGATATATATATATATATATATATATATATATATATATATATACATACATAAATACATACACTGTATACATATACATTTATATGAAATGTGTGTATATGTATATATATTATATAGACATACTTTCATTAGTCAGCCTTTTTTGAAACTGCAGTGATGCTATGTATTGTCTTAAACACTGTTTTTATTTCCCCCTAAGTTTCATTTTATTGCTTTGACAATATGCATGGTACAAGGCAACATCTGCCAAATAAGGAAACTTGCTGGATATTCTTTGGGTGAAGAAAAATTTGAAATAGAAAGAAAACAATTGAACATCACAAGAAAATTCATAAATAAGATAAAGAGACAGAGAGAGCAAGAGAGAGGAAGAGGTTAGTATTGGTTATTGCTGGTTGGAAAAAGAGATCATGAGATTCAGCAAGAGTTGGGTATGTCCTGATGAATATACTGCTCACTTCTTACTATATTTGATACCATAAAGTTTAAAGAATGTTATGTGAGTTATCAGAACCCAATCATTGGGAAAAATATTCTCTTGTTGGTTTTAAAATTAAAGGTGCAGCATAACCACTGTGATTATGATCTTTAGTGAATCCTACTTGTTAATAAGGTGCTTACGGCTTTCATATAAGAAGCATATCCAGATATTTGTGTATTGCATCAAGAGAATTAATTTAGGATTGGTACCTAGGCTGCTTGCCACCTAGGTTGCATAGAAGTACCTGATTTAAAACTGACTGGAGGAAAATTGGTCATGAGCCATAGCGAGAGGCTTTCTTTGATAGAAAAGAAGAGAGAGGTAGTCCAAGGGAATTGAGGTAAAGAGCAGTCCTCTCTCTCCCTCTCTCTCTCAGAACTATAACCCTCAGCTGAAGTGTCCATATCACTGTACCTATTTCGTTTTATCAATGTTCATAACAAAAGAAATAGGGGTGAGGGTAAAGGGTGTTAGGTAACAAAATTGCCCTACTTTCTGCATGAACAACTATCAGGCTGCCCTCTTTCTCTCTCGCTCTTTCGGTTACCATTCATACCACCCACAGAACTGTGTTATGTACTCATCACGTATTTGTGTGTGCTGCTGCGGCTTTGTTACTAAGTTCATTTTTAAAGAATTGAGAATGAATTTGCAGGATTTGTCGAGTGAAAATTCTTAACTGTGCCTCAGGTTGAGAAAATTACATATAGGGGAAGATATGAGGGAAAGATTTTAGAACAACTGGATACAGGAAGTTGTAGTTGATAAACTGAATATTTATATTATGTTAAGTTTGAATTATACAAGAGAACTTAAAAATGTCAAATGTCCCATCTTGACCATAACCATAAAAAGCAATTGGTTGAGAAAAGTATATGTTGAAGATACCTAAATTCTTCTCTACATGTCCAAAAATACCTTGAGGACAGTAAATTTATTACAATCTTATTTTCTACATTATATTTCAACCTGGAAGTGGCACTGTAAGGCCTGTAACCGTTCCAATAAGTCATCCAGTGTTATTGGGACCTCTCTTTAATGTAACCAGAGTGTTAGCTGGTATAGGTCATGAAGAGTGGCAAGGGGCTCTGTAGAGGAGTTCACCTTCGTTTTATTTCTTGTTGTCTGTGGTTCTGATATTATTGTATTTTTAGGCTTAACGGATTGATGGTTGCCGTAAGGTGTTACTAGTTTTTGGCTTTTTATTTTCATGGAGGAAATGATGCTTTCCTATATTTTAATTTGATTATTTTTTTTTATTATTATTATTTTTTTTTTTTTTTGCATTATTGGACTTCTCTTGTGCAGATAATTATGGTTAATTCTTGAATTATATATAGCAGTTATGCCTGAAGTATGTTAAAATAGAAATAAAAAGAATTTTTAAAAATCATTACTTGGAAAGTCTTTACATCAAAGAAAAGCAAGTAATATTACTCATCGGAAAAATAATGTTATATCCTTCTGTGGATAAATGCAAGCCATGTACACACACCTGAAGATGGTATATAGGTATGTAGACGGGTTTAAGAAGACTGTTAGGCTTGGTAATATGTGCACTCTGGATACTTTGTTATGTTTGAAGTGAATGTAACAGAGCATAAGTGAAATTGAATTATGCTTTGCTTAAAGAGCGCTTATCATGTCCTACATAGCGGCTCTGTCTTCAAAGGATGTATTTGCGTTTTTTCTTCTGGATCTTCTTTCTCTCTCTCAGGTCTCTTGTAATTTTTTTTCAAATGTTCATTTATGTCAAGAATCCTGGCGTTGGAATTTTGAAAACACATATTTGTTTTCCATTTTTTCCAGCCAAGAAAAAAAAAGCAGTTGTATGAAGCACTGCTTAATGTGTCTGTGTAAAACTCATTTCCTTCTTTTAGATTCAAGGTGATTCTGTGATTTTTTCAGCAATCCTTGACAGTGCAGTAGATTGCTTCCGCTTAGAGCCAGCTCTTAGTCTGCAGATATTGGGATGTTGGCGATTCCAAGAGTTGTTTAGAGCAGGAAAGTGGTGGTTGTATCATTTTTATTATTATTATTATTATTGTTATTGTTATTGTTGTTTTTATTATCATTATTATTATTATCATCATCATCACTATCATTATTATAATGATTACTGTCCTGATGGTGATATTGGTATTTGAATTATTATTGTCTTCAGTGTTTTGACTTTTAATAGTTATTTAAAAGTAATATCTTTTTATTGAATATTTTTTGTCACATCTTTATTATATGGTATATTTTCTGTAGGCCACTGTTATTGTGATTATCATTTAGTGTTCTTTCTTGCTGTAGCTAAAAGCACCAAGTGGTGGTACTATATTATATAGAGGGGAAAAAACAAAAAACTATAAAAAATAAATAATTATAAAAAAGATAATAAACAAATAGATGTAATGTATCTTTGGCCTGAATTAATGAAGGCCTGTCAAGGAGTGCTGCAACTATAGTGTTTAGAGGGAAAGAAAGTGCTCTGGTTGAACTTGAGAAATATCGTGAAGGTTTATCGTACCTTTTTCGTTCCGTCAACTTTTCCTTCTTCTGCATCTTTTCCTTCTACGTGTGATTTTCCTTTGTCGTCTTCTCTAGCTTTTCATTCTTTTTATTCTCCTCATTCTCTTTCTCTTTCTTTGACACACAGGAACTGTTCTCTCTCTCTTTCGATGTTCTTTCCATCTCTCTTAGTTACTTCCAAAGGGAATAAGCTTTATCTCAGTGATGTATTTGCTTAGTATCTTGTATTTATAAGTTGACATGATGGTTATTTTACAGACAGAGTGATAGATCCTATACATAGTATAAATATGATAAGCAAAGAATACTGGTTGAAGATTTTTTCTGTGAGCTGATGCTTTGTTGATGGCGAATGTTGAATGACTCCACTACCCTCTCGAGTGGATGGTTTTAAGAGTGTTCCTCCGTTATATTTGTTGATATTCTTCAGATTTTATGCAGACATGAGGTGTTATAATAATGTTTTCAGGAGACTTATAAGAAGCGTGCAGTAATAATAATAATAGTTTTTTTTTTTTTTTTTTTTTTTTTTTTTCTTTTTTTTTTTTTCTGAAACCCAAATCACGGTAGATCACCATCTCAGCGGCTCAGAACTTATTTGCAGTTTAGTGTGCGAAGGGCATATCACTAGTGCGTAAAAAAGAATGAATAATAATAACAAAAATTAGAGAAACAAAAGATAAAAAGAAAAAAAAATGTAGTTAAAGGTATTTGAACTCTTTTAGGTACACTTGTGAGCATTTTGTATTTACTTATTAATATGTAGTAAAAAAAAAAAAATGAATCTTGTCCTTTAAGGCTAGACCTTCTTTTGTTTTGTCAGTTCTTTTCTTCATATTGCATAATTTACACATACCTGCAGTTACTTATCCTTTTATTTAAATTAAATACAGGTTTTGGTACATGAAGAACTTTAGTGTATGGTAGCTCTAGCATTGTTCCAGTTTCATTCTCGTAGTG